AGACTGACCTGGTCACAATGAAGACGAACTTGATTGCAGTTGGTCACAAATAACAAAAGTTTGATTACGAGAAATAACAGCTTATTTAGACATGATAAAAAAACAATAACAGCTTTTACAAATTTAGTAACAAATAGTCATTGTGCTAATTAGTGAAGACTAAACTGAATTATGGTTGAATCCACATATACCACATCTTCATCGTTATTTAAATCAGAGAAAGAAAAAATCATCGATGTCGAGTTACTGGTTTGAGAATTAGGACCAGGCTCTTGCTGCTTCAAAAGAGATGGAAAAGTATTTTGTGGATTACGTGTGATAATCTAGCCACTATGAAGAATTTGGGAGAGATAGGATGGATCTGGCAGAGATGGAGAATGGAGCAACCGAGAAGGGCTATGGTGGTGGCAGATGAAGAAATAGCGAAATGGGGTGGCTGTGTTGATGGTAGATTTGGGAGTGGAAGAGAAATGGATAGGTGGGTGATAGTTACATGGAAGCTATTGAGGGAGGGGAGGAAAGGGAGAGAGAGGTATATAATGTTGGATATTGGTTAAATAAATCGAGAATTGAAAATCGATTAAAGTGACTTCGTATCGACTTCTTCGAAAACCAATATCGGATGAATGAGAAATTACGAAAAAGGACGAAAATCAGTGAATAGACACCTTTTCATAAAGGTGCATTATTTGGAAAGGGTGCATGGTTTGGCCTCAACCATTTCGTCCACACCCTTTCATGGTCTATAAATAGGACCCTTTGGGTGTCCTATTCCTCACAATTTGATATGCAAAATATCTCTCATCCTCTCTTTTATCCAAAATCAAAATCATTTCATTTATTTTGATTTTCCTTCATTTCATCCTTGGAGTACATAAGCCTAAATTTGGTTCGTTGTACTTATGTTTTGAAGTGTTACAAACACAAGTGTAGCCGTTGTATCTTGGGAGTCGATTGCCGAAATCCGTAGGCACCGTTGCGGGGCAAATTCGACTTAAGGACAAAGAGTCCAACTCTTGCCTCGGCTTTGTCCCTACTTTCTTCTTCTTCTTGTTTGTACTCTGTCCAATTTTCGGCACGGATTTACAAACCATCATTATACTTATTTTGGCGTCACTATTCACAAAATTCTTCCAACATATAATATATTTTATTGTTGTTGTTCTTATAATTAAACACTTGATTTGTTAAACTTTTTTACAAGTTTGTTAAATTTGAATTTGTATTTTTATAGTATTGTATTTATGTACTTTTTCCCATACGAAATGTGCACCACGAATCCAGCAACCATTCACACCCTTAAAGGTATTAGAGGTTATATTCACAATAGGTTCAAACTCTTCTAAAAGTATGGCTACACAAACATCACTAAAGTTCTCGTTGACTAAAGTAGCATGGTTTGATTAGGGTGTTTATTTTTCTGAGCAATTATTATTATTATTGTGTCGATCTTCAATAAAGTGACTCAGTTTCTCACAAACATAACACACTCCGCCGTTGTCTTTGGATTTGGGTCTAGATTTGCTCCTCCCTTTCTTATTATGATGACTACCACTATTAATGTTATTTTGCTCTTAATTATTATTTCCATACTGGGATCTACCTCTAACAATTAACCCTTCACTAGAATTTTTTTTTTTTTTCAGATTTTAAATACTTATTTCTCAAGGCAAATTGCTTTAGATAGTAGACTCAACCTAGTAGAATTTTAGGAATTGATCTTGAGAGGTGAGATTAGAGGTGGTAACCATGATGAAATTCTGAGTCTTAAAGCTTTAATCATCATGTTGAATTGTTTAATCAAAGTTTTCATAATATAAAGAAAACACGTTTATTTAATTGTTTTTACTTTTATTAATTAATCAAAATTTTGCCTTAAATTTTGTTCTCATTAAATGGTTTTTATATTATATTAAGATAAAAAGTCCCCTTCGTATAATAATTCGGAGTTGTTAAGTCTACTTTATTACTTGTTAAATTAACATCGTAAATTTCAAATTTTATCACACAATAAGATTTGGCACTATTGCCAGAGACTATTTTTTTATTTAATGTTATTTTAAATTATTTCTAGCTTCTATTTAATTTTTTCTTTTTTTCTTTTTTCCTATTTTAACTGATCTACTCATTTCTCTTAGTATCATTGTCAAGATCCTGAAATTGATTAAGATGTCAAGATCCTGAAATTGATTAAGGTGTCATGCTTGTGGATGATTTCTTTACCAAGCAACGAACTATTGTGGCAGGATGTGATGCACTTGCAGAAATAGATGAAGATAACGAGCTAATATGGCAGGATATGACTCCCTTGCAAAAATTGACGAAAGTGACGTGCTTTGGGAGATTATTTTGCCATATAATGAGCTAGGATATGATGAACGTGCAAAAAATTGATGAAGGTTACATGCTTGTGAGAGACTTCTTCACCGTGCACTAGTCGAAGTTAATAAGGTGACTTTCCCATGAGATTTTGTTTTCCTCAAAATTGAAAATTGATGAGGGTCATTTGCCCATACGGTTGTTTTTTCGACCATTAGCAAGCATACTTGCTCTTGGGAGAATTATGGAAATTACCTCTTTCGGGCTTTCAACGGCAACAAGAGATGAAGACTTTTGATGAATAAGTTTCTTGTGCGTTTCATGAAATTTTGCATAATAGACTGGTCATCCAACTCAAAGAGCCACCATTTAAAGAAGAAGATCGTGTGGAGAATGAGAAGTTGATCCTAACAGAGCAAAATGAAGGAGTGAAATTCCGTGAAGGTAGAACTCTTGCAATCCTTTGATCCAATGTTTGCCCTAAGTTAATTTTGTGATTAAGGTTGATAAGGAAGTTGAGTACTCATAGTAGAGTTCGATTCGGGTGGCATAGGCAAGACATGTTTTTCTGGGAATGGCAAAGTCAAATTTTGTTGAATAAACTAAAAATGGTGCAAAATCAACCAATACACACTAAGCTACGCCTCCAAAGGCCTTTTCAAGTTCTAAGAAAACATCATTGCAACATGTCGGGTTGGAGACAATAAAGAAAATGCTTGGAGGTAACACAACCTGTATCATTTCTACTTAATTTTTTTTTTCCCATTAGTTATATCATAATGCATTTAGTTTTGGACTACATTTGCTTTTAAAATTTAAACCAAAAAAATAAAAATAAAAATAAAAATAAAAAATCCAAGTTTTTTAGTACAGGTCTAGTCCAAGGTCTTTAACTAGATTACACAAGTCCTCGTCGTTGCAAACTCCATAAAAATTACATGTTACACATTAGTTCTCTCCCTCTTGAAATCACTTGTTAGCATTATCGTAAGCGAGGTCATAAATATAAGTTAGCCTAAATTCCTATAAAATACTTTCTTTTATGCAATTGACCATTTCTTATCTAATAATACATTCACGTCTCTTTCCAAGTACAGAGATATTTTACAAAACAAGCAAGGGAGACTAGAGAAAGATAAATGATCAAGTTCTAGAGAAGAGGCTTCATCATATTAAAGGAGAGTATTGATATCCTTCCTTAGGTTTATTTGCATGTTTACAAGGAGGACAATGAATGATTCAAATTTGGGAGGTAACATAGTTATTTTTGCTATGCTTGATTGTGTGATGTTATTAGTTATCGAGTCTATCAGGTTTTAGGTGTTTGGATTCTATATTTAGGGCTTGTTTGAGCCACATTATTTTCAAAAAAATATATTATTCAACAGTGATTTAATATCATTTCAACCACACATTGTTCAATAAAATGATATTACACGTATTCCTTACTTTTTAACCACACATTTTTCATTGATTTGACATGAATAATGCATTTTTTCCTAAAATATAGCTCAAACATGGGCTTATGGTTTTACCAGGTACATCCAAATAGGGGCGGATGTAGCTTATGGCCCTAGCTGGCTTCACCAGAACCGCCACGCCGACCGCCGGAAAATCAGTTTTTTTTTCCTTTAGAATTCGAGACGTTCAGTGGCTTCACTGGCTTGGCCGCTTGGGTGTTGCCTGTTGGGCTGTTGGGCACTTGGGCTTCATTTTTTTTTAAATCCAGCCCAATTAAAGATGCCCAAATGACCTGCCTGCTCCACTCCAATATACCCAAATTTTTACAATTACAATTTACAACCCGAAGCAGAGTTCACAGGTGTAGATGGAGTGACCAAACTGAAGATTCAAGGTTCCTAGATTTTTCCCCAAATTGCCACTACCCACCATTACCATTTACCAATCTAGGGCTTTCCCCGACTCCCCGTCTTAGCCGTCGCCCGTCAACCGGTCCACCACTACCGCAGGCCACAGGCCCACAGCAGCCAGGTAGCCAGCAGATGCTGTAGCGCCAGTGCGCCACTTGCCCGCCAGGTTCGCCGGATCGCCACTGAGTCCAGACCGTCCAGTGAAGGCTGTGAAGCAGGCAGCCCGCACAGCGGTACACGTCGCACACTCGCACTCTTCTTCTTCAAAAAATGCAAGATTCTTTTAGACTTTTAGTTATTTGATGAATTGATGTTCAGTGATTCTGATTCGTGATATTGTCATATTGATCTAATTTTCCAAAAATCTTGGATTTCATTTTGGCTGCACTCTCCAGTCCAGGCTCCAGCACTAATATTTTTCACATTTTTATATATTTTGAAAATTGCAATACTTGTGGAAATTTATTAAAGTGATTATGTGAACTTCGAAGTGAATCTGTGAATGAGTTGAATCTGCAATACATTTTTATATATTTTGCAATACTGATTATGTGAACTTCGAAGTGAATCTGTGAATGAGTTGAAAATGCTATTGTACTGCACTCTATGGCATCCATTGGACAATTTGGACCAGATTTTAATTTACTTTCTTCTTTAATGCTATTGTACTGGATCCTATGTATTGTCTACTGAGCAAATGAAAATGAAAATTGTTGAATTGTTGATCATCAGTGGAGGGGATTTTTTTGTTGAATTGTTGATTTTTTAATCAATTGTAATTGAAAATTAAATTGGGGCATTTTGCAGATTATGGAACGATTTTTTCAACCGAAACAAAAGTCTATACCTAGTTCTAATTGTGCTTCTAGTCTCGCCACTACTTCTAGCCGAGTACTCGAGTTATTAAATAGCACAAAGAAGTCTCGGGCTCAATTCAATGTAGATGATCTTATATCTGATCTAGGAAAACGTCCCCCTATCGAGTCATATGATCCTAATATCAGAGATGATGTTACGATGGCATATTTGCAAAAAGGTTCTTGTCAGCCACATGGACATGACTTTCCAAGAAGACGGATAGAAAATGATAATAGGTGTTTTCGAAACGAATGGTTTTCTGAATTTTATTGGTTGAAGTACAGTATAGAAAATGATGTGGCTTATTGTTTGCATTGCTACTTATTCAAACCAGATAGAGGGGGTGGACATATATTCACTAAGACTGACTTTAGGGATTGGAAGCACAAAAGTACATTGAAAGATCATGTCGGGCTCATTGATAGTGCTCATAATCAAGCTTTTGCAAAGTGTACCAATTTGATGAATCAAAATCAAAGTATCTCCCATGTTATTTCTAGCCAAAGTAGTAGTCAACAAAAAAATTATAGGACAAGGTTGATTGCAGTGCTAGACTGTACTAGATTTCTCTTGATGCAAGGATTGTCATCTCGTGGTCATGATGAATCGAAAGAGTCTCTTAATAAAGGAAATCTGATTGAGCTACTAAATTGGTATGCAATTCGTCGTAAGAAAATTAATGAAGTACTATTTAGTAATGCTCCTGGAAATGACCAAATGACTTCACCAAGCATCCATAAGGATTTGGTTAATTGTTGTGCTGTAGAGACGACAGGGTCTATGATCAATGAGATGGGAGATTCCTTGTTTTCAATTTTGGTTGATGAGTCTCGTGATAATTCTATAAAAGAACAAGTGGCGGTTGTTTTGAGATTTGTTGACAAAAGTGGACAAGTAAAGGAGCGTTTGTTGGGTATTTGCCACATCGCTGATACTTGTGCCCAATCACTCAAGGATGCCATTGATGCAATGTTTTCTACACATGGGTTGAGCATATCTAGTCTGAGAGGTCAAGGTTATGATGGAGCAAGCAATATGTCAGGTGAGTTCAATGACTTAAAAGCTTTAATTTTAAGAGAGAACCCATGTGCTATGTATGTTCATTGCTTTGCTCACCAGCTTCAGTTGGTAGTTGTTTCTGTGGCACATAGGAATGTTATGCTTAGTGATTTATTTAACATGCTTGCTATTAGTGTGAATTTGGTTGGTGCGTCATGTAAATGTGTGGATGCTCTTCAAACAAGTTATCATGTTGAAATTCTGGAGAGGCTTAATATTGAGTAACTTTCTGGTGGAACTGGTCAGTTTCAAGAAATGAGTTTGGCACGTCCAGGTGATACTAGATGGGGCTCACATCTAAAGACAGTTACTCGCTTTATTAGTATGTTTAATGCGACCATAGATGTTCTTGAGAATATATCAGAAGACGGCATAAGTTTACAACAAAAATCAATGGCCATCAGACAGATGGACATTATGCAAGATTTTCAATTTGTGTTCAGTCTCCATTTTATGTTTGAAATTCTTGCAATTACAGATGACCTTTCACAAGCCTTATAGAAAAAGGATCAGGATATTCAGAATGCTATGAGATTATTGAAGTTGTGTAAGTACGCATTGCAGAACATGAGAGACAATGGTTGGGATACTTTGTTGAGTAAGGTAATTCAGTTTTGTGTTGATAGACATATTTCCGTGCCCAATATGGATGATATTGTGATATCGAAAGGTCGACCTAGGCGTGCAAGTCAGCAGGTGACTTATTATCATTGTTTTTATGTTGATTTGTTTTGTTATGTGATAGATTCAATCTTGCAAGAGTTGAATGATCGTTTTCCAGAAACAACTACTGAGTTTTTTACTTGCATTTCGTGTTTAAGTCCAAGAGATTCATTTGCAGCTTTTGATGTATGTAAATTGGTTTGACTTGCTCAGTTATATCCGATGGATTTCAATAGTGAAGAGCTTTTATTACTTAGACCTCAACTTGACAAGTTTCTTATGCTCGTGAGAATGGATGAAGCTTTCTTCAACCTCAAAAGCATATCTTGTGTAGCTCAGAAGTTGGTTGAAACTAGAAGTTCTTGTTATTCTCCATTGGTTTATAGGCTGATCACATTAGTTTTGATATTACCTGTGGTAACTGCAAGTGTTGAAAGGGTATTCTCTGCTATGAATCTAATCAAGAATGATTTGTGAAACAAAATGGGAGATGAAATGTTGAATGACAATTTGGAAGTTTACATGGAGAGAGATCTTTTTATGAAACTTGAGAATGAGACAATATTGCAACGTTTTCAAAATATGCGACCTCATAGAATTCAGTTGTCTAAGCTTGCAATTTCAGAGTAAGGTTGTATTGTATATTTTTTTAGCATTTTGGGTTATATTAAACTATATTTTCATATGTATATATTTTCTAGATTTTAGTGCATTTACATATATATTGAATAATTTATAATATTATTTAATCTAATTTTAATAAACGATCGGCCACCGATCAGACCGGGCTTTTACGATCGTCGATGGTCAATGGTCAAAGTCAACCTCTATCCTAGCTGAATGTTGATGCTAGATTCGCCACTGCATCCAAAAATAAAAATAAAAAATGAATTATGCTATGAAAAATCTAAAATTAGAAAATGTGTGCATGTTGGATAGCCTTACCAGTTAATGAAGATACTTGTTCGGAACTACTAATGAATTAATGAGTCGTGACTATGTAATGCTAATTATGATAATTTAATTCTTATGCTTATCTACATGAGATTATGATAATTTTGAGCACAATAGTCATGATGATCATTATTTGAGTTAGCTACAATAATAGAATAAATTGATTGAATTTTGGACCTAGATTGTTAAAAGAAGATAACAAATTGAAAAATACAACCAATTAATCAACTGATAGGATAGCTTAGAGATGGTTAAGTCAATGTTGGGAGCTATTTGAATAGGTGTTGATTCCGTTCATGTTGATATTTTGTAGAGTGTTTTTAGCTAATATTGGAAACTAGGTATCGACTTTACTCTAGGGAAATGATCCCTATTACTCATCCCAATAAAAGGCATTATGGTAGTCGTAGCAAAAGATGAAAAATGTGTCATATTGTCATGAGCAAAATCTATACTATAAATGATCACAATGAAGATACCAAATAAATATTTTGGAAATGCTAGTTCTAAATAGGATAAAATATGTACATGAAACAGAAGACGCATTACAATCTTTACTATTCTTTGGACACTTAATTTGATGATCTAGATGTCTAATCGGATTGATTTGCCTAGCCAAAGATTGAAGGCTAGAAAACTCAAATCTAGGGAGAATCTTACAGATCTAGATAGGTTATTCCATCGGATAAACCCAACCAAATTTGAGCGAAAAAGTAATGTGCATGTTGTGAAAACAACTTTAGAATAAACACCTACTATGAAAGATTGAAAATAAAGTTGTGAGTATGCATCTCGTGACAGAGAAATGAGAAAATGACAATTTAGTTTCGAGATATAACCCACCTAAAGGTTTATGGAGATTGAATTATCTACACACGTAAACATGGATCGAAATTTTATGAGTAAAAATTGGTTTTGGCAGCATTACAAATATGGCAAGGTATCTAATGAAATGAATTTATTTATTTATTTTTATTTTTTTGTGTGCGCTTGAGTAGTTAATCTTGCTCTTGACAAACAAGAAATTAAGGTTAGACTATTTGATAAGCATGTTTTACATGCTTATCCTGACCTATTAACTTCATATTGTAAATTGAGTAAATTTCTACTTAATTTCATGTAAATGTTGTCATCATAAAATAAAACCTAGATTTTGGAGGTACTTGGAATATCCTGGGCATTATTGAAGGAAATTCACAAGTTTTGAAAGAGAAATTCAACTTACAATAAGTTTGGTGACTAATTTGCACACTTTTAGAACTTAAAAAGGACCAATTATGGATGATTATGGAAGTTCGGGACCAATACGATAGCTTTCAAGAGTTGTAAGAGCAATATTGAAGATTTGAATCTAAAATAACCTAAATCGTACAAAAAAAAAATAACTCATGGACTGAAATGCAATAAGAAGAAAGTTAAAGGATTGGTGACTAAGATCAACCATCGGTAATTGAAACCAGGCGGTTTGTCACTGCCCAATTGCTGCCAAAAATAATCACCCTATTTTTTACGGTTGTTGTCGAACCGTGGCATATCCAAACTATTTTTGTTATTTAAACCTAGTGATATATTTCAATTCCTTCTGTATTTTTCTTCTTCTATGATGCGTAACTGTTTCGTGTGGGTTAGTCGCTAACAATTAAAAAGGAATTAGACAATTGTGTGAGGGACAAATCTCTTGAGACAAAGTCCCAAAAAGGGGTGTTTTTATTGGCGATGACTTTATAATTGGAAAATAAAAACAGAATGCCTCCAAGGGGCGCAAGCACACGAGTTACTGAAAAGAAGTATTTAAATCTAAACTAAAAAATTGAAAGTTACATATTCTCTGTTTAGAGTGTTTGATTCGGGGTCTTTTGCTCTATGTCTTTTCTTCTTTTTATACTTCCTGGATGATCTCTTCGTGATCAACCACTTAAAAACTGATTGATCACTCTATAATTGCCCACTTTCTTCATAGTGGTCAACTTGTCATGGAACTGCCTTCTCTAACTGCTGCCATTACTTTTTGCCGTTCAATCGTCTTCAATTGAATTCCTTGAATTGTGGAACGTGATAGGGTTACTCAATAATTGCTCCATTAACCGCACTTTTGGGTAACCATAACATCTTATGTTTGCTAAGATCCTGGACGACTCGAAGGTTTGGGCGAGAACAGGGTCGTAGTTCTGGGTGACTGCATGGCAATTCATTTGCTCAAATCTTGGGCGACTTGTAACCTTGGGCGATAGTATTACCGCGTTCATGGGTTTCCCTATTTGGGTCTTTATCCTGTATTGCCTGATTGGACCGTTCTTTGGGCTATCTGATTTTGGGGATCCTCCAATTGGGCTTTATTCCTTGGGCTATTCAATTTGGGCTGAACTTTTGTGTGTCAACAATTACCCCCAATATGGCAGAATTAATACCAATTATTAATTTTTGCTATATTCACTTTGTGTTTCCCAGCAATATTCAAAATTTTCAAGAATTTCAATCATTGTTTTCTTCCATAGCCTGAAAAGGTGCGGCGTTTGCAAACCCTTATAACCCCCAAATACACGTCATTTCAATGCACCACTAAATCACGCCTCATTGTTTCGCGCTTCTCGCTCGTAATATTACTGTTCATCTTTTTACTTCTCTACTACATAACTTCGACAGACTCTATTTCGTTCCTAATGGCTACTTCACAATCCCAGTCTGGAGACTCCTTCAGTTTCGAAGACTTCCAGAAACTCCTCACTCGGCCATTTATAACTCTGAACTTTCTTGCACCAGCCAATGTTGAACTCAATGAGTTCTATCTAGGTCCTTCATTTAACAACGTCGAAGCCATCGAACAAGCGGCTATCGGTCAGCTGTTCCCTTGTACTCAGGGCCCTCCGTTTCTAAACTCTTTGCCGCTGAGGCCGCTTCGCGAAAGAGGTATTCGCACTTGGCCTAAATCTGATGTCGTTTTTCGTAGATGGCATGCTCGCCTTGTAGACTATGGTCCTACTAAGGCAATTTTTGATAGTGCTAGGATTTCTGATTTGTTAGAAATTTCTCTTCAATCCCCTATTTTTGACCTAGCACTTTTTCCAATCGCTTTAAGTTTTTGGTCTTCCGAGTATAATACTTTTATTTTTCCTCTTGGTCCCATGTCCATTACCTTAAGGGATGTTGGGGCCCTAATAAATCTGTCACCTTTGGGCGATACCATTTTTCCTGGTATTTTAATTTCTGGTGTTGCCCCAAAATTTGATAAAAAACTCACCAAGTCTTATACAAGCCTGCAAACCTGTTATAACCACTCGCGCGCTGAGCCTTCCCATGCTGAGCGTGTGGCCTTTCTTCAAGTTTAGCTTTGTAAATACATTTTGTGTGTGCCAAGCCTGAAGCCCTCCATGAGCTATTTACCCATAGCGCACGAGTTGGCGCGTGGTAGGCCTCTAAATTTGTGTTCTTTCTTTTTAGCTGCCCTCTATGGAGGCATGACTTCTCTTCAATCTCAATTGAAGAATGGTGCATCTCCCACTGGCAGTGGGCCTCTTTGGTTCACTCAAATGTGGTTGAGAGCCTATTTTTCATCGCTTGGTGCTCCATCCTTTTCCAGTCCTTCTGCTAGATGCTATGGGCTAGCCATTGATCCCCTGACTCCTGTAAATATATCCAGAAGGGACATTTTTTCATTCTTTTATATTTTGGATTCAATCCCTTCCTTCTTTCCTTTTCCTCCCTTTTTGACTCCGGATTATGTGCAACCTCCACCCATTATGGATAGTACGAGCACCTCTTTGTTCATTTGGATTCAATTTTTGATCGGGAGGGAGTTGTTCCATGATATTTTGACTGGAACCAATGCTAAAGCTGGGGTTGAAATATACGCCCCCCAATTTTTTGCTCGCCAACTTGGTTTTGGCCAAACTTGGCCCGTTCCCCCTTGCTATTCAAGAAATTTGATAGGCCGCTTCCACACCATTAATAAGGCAGAGGCAGAAGCTATAGATGCTCGCAATATTCTTTTAACGAGCAACTTTTCATTAGCTCCTTTCAATCCTAGCCGTGACATTCATCCTCTTTTTGAACAACTCTGACCGTCAGTGAAGCGTAGATTGTTTGTGACTGATGCCAATCGTGTTTTTCATTCACTGGACCAGCCAAACATTTCTTCTACCTCTTCTGTTTTGGTCACTCCTTTTTCCATTAGGAGTCCCTTTTCCCCTGCTCGCGCTAAACAGTCTGCTCGTCCATCGACTTCTCTTCCTGCCAAGCCCACTGCAACTAAAAGTGCCCCAAGCCGCAAACGGCCAGTCTCAGCATCTCTTATTTTGGAGGATGATGATGCTGATGATGATGACACCCCTCTCATCGTCAGGAGGAAGGTAATTAAATTGGTTTACTTACAAGCATACCTTTCCATACTTGAAACTTTTCTATGTGTTGATGGTTTATTTGGATTTCTCAGAAAAGTTCAGCCTCTCCTTTGAAGGCTTTTGTGTTGGCAGCTCATGCTCCATCATCCTCTGCTGAGGCTGCTTCGTCCAAACCAGCTCATGAAG